GAAACCAGGCCCTAGGGCAGCCCCACAGAGAGTGCATTGCAGTAACCAAGCCTTGAAGTTTCCAAGGCATGGACTACAGTGTTCAAGCAAGGCTATTGTATATAGTAGATGCATTTGATGAACACTTTATCCTAATGTATGCATTACTGGATGCATTTTATGTCTGGAGCATCACAAAATAAGGAGAAATGCAAACTTCAAGAGAGAGCCGCATTTCAGGTTATGTGTTGGAAGCACAAATTAGGTAGATTCACATCACACTGTGCAATAAATTGAATTTCTTTCCCCATCCTCTATTCCATGGGTAGGCAAACTAAGGCCCGGGGGCCAAATCCGGCCCAATCGCCTTTTAAATCTGGCCCGTGGATGGTCCTGGAATCAGCGTGTTTTTACATGAGTAGAATGTGCCCTTTAATTAAAATGCATCTCTGGGTTATTTGTGGGGCATAGGAATTTGTTTATTTCTTTTTCTTCAAAATATAGTCCGGCCCCCCAGAAGGTCTGAGAGACAGTAGACTGGCCCCCTGCTGAAAAAATTTGCTGACCCCTGCTATCCTCAACCACCTTCTGCCACCTGCATACACATACCTTCCAAGTGCCCCTATTTTCCAGGGACAGTCCTGGAATCACAGAAGCCATTTTGGTTTCTGATTTGATCCTGGAATGTCCCAGTTTGCCTTTTCTGCCCCCCTCCCATGTCTGTCTGTTTGTGGTGTGTTTGTTTGTGTGTAGGTGCAAACACGGAGTCCTGTTTATACTGAAAATAAAATTCCTGCACCAAATGAAGGAAATGGCAAAGCAATCCCTACAATTTTGAAGCGAAAGGCCAACAATCCACTTTAAATTGTTTCATTGCAATGGTTCAGCAGTGAGTCATTTCTTAGGAAACATTTGGAGTGTTTATTCCTTAACTGTAAATGGAGTCTTGCTCTGTCTACTCAGAAGTAAGTCCCACTGTATTCAATGGAGCTCACGCCGAGATAACTGGGTAAAGACCCAGCAACCTTACACCACAACCCAAACTAAGTCCCACTGAGTTCAATAGGATTCCCTCTCTGGTATGTTCCTCATTATTCTCACAGTTTCCGTTCTTGTTCTTATTCTTATTTCTTGTCTTTTTCCTTGACAGGGACTCAAGGCAAAAAAAAATTTTCATTCTGTTTATCTGTGGAAGGTGTTGTACATGACTCCTTCCCTCAAACATTTTTTTCTTTACAACACTTCTGTGAGATAGGTTTGGCAGAGAGGTTGTAACTGGCTCATGGTGACTGATGTAGATGTGCAGACGATGTATTTAGGTGTGAGGAGACCAAACTTGGGAGAAGCTTCCTGATGAAGAATAGAACATCCCTATTTCCATCTGAGAAATGTTGGAGGGGCTACAAAAGTCTGTGTGTATGGTAGGGTTGCCATACACCCGGAATTTCCTGGACACATCCAGCCCATGTCAGCAGTGTCGTTTTTGCTGATTTTACTTAGAAATAGCTGGAAAGCGTCCAGTTTTGTTGTTTTTTTTTTGCAAAAATCTAATCAGATTTTGGGCAAAACAAAAAGAAGCTCAACAGCTTTTCTGTCCAGATTTTCGCTTTTTGAAATATGGAAACCCTCGTGTTTTTGGTGTTGTTTTTTGAAATGGGGGGAAGAGACATTTAACTCAGCCCCATACTAATTTTGCAAAGCATTTATGGAGTGGAGGAGACTCTTGAGAGTCCCATGGACTGCAAGAAGATCAAACCTATCCATTTTTAAGGAAATCAGCCCTGAGTGCTCACTGGAAGGACAGATCCTGAAGCTGAGGCTCCAATACTTTGGCCACCTCATGAGAAGAGAAGACTCCCTGGAAAAGACCCTGATGTTGGGAAAGATGGAGGGCACAAGGAGAAGGGGACAACAGAGGACGAGATGGACAGTGTTCTCGAAGCTACCAGCATGAGTTTGACCAAACTGCGGGAGGCAGTGGAAGACAGGAGTGCCTGGCGTGCTCTGGTCCATGGGGTCACGAAGAGTCGGACACGACTAAACGTCTAAACAACAATAGCAATTTAGCTATTACAAATGTGTCCGGAAGATGGCACTGTGGTGCCACTTTAAGAAAACCATGGCAAAGTCCTTCACCTCCTGCTTGCTCTAGTGAGATCTAGGCAGAAAGGAATGGAATAGAAAGCATGCCACCCAGGAACAGAGCTGAAATGGAGCAGAAAACTGTTAATGGGAGGCTAATTTATGCAAATGGCCCATTAAGTGCAGGAAATAACAATAAATTTGCACGGCAGTGCTTCCACAGAACAGCAAGTTGGCATCTTGCTGGGTCCTTTAATACCCAGAACACCATCCTGGAGGCACTTTCCACTCTGCTGCACTCTAAAAGCCACCCCACTCGTTGTGTGCGCGTGTCTTGGAAGCAGCATGGCTCTAATCTTGGCATTTCAGCAGAGGGATGCAGCAAACGTCCACCAGGACTTGAGAACACCCTGGTCCCAGGTTAAGAACTGTAAGGCAGGGCTGGATTGAATGATTAAAATATACAGTATACTGCCAAGCCTCTGCAATTCTCCAGCCTTTGTCATAGCATCCTGGCATGTTCCTTATGGAGGAATTAAGTGAAGCTGTTGTGCCCCCTGGCCGGTCATGCGCTTCAATGCATTTTAATGCTGACCAGCTAGCTAGAATGGTCCTTTGTTGGGGGCAAGGGGAAGATAAGAGGAAGACAAAGGGTGACATAAGCTAATGATCTAGAATTCCCCAGAATTAAAATTCCCATGCATACACAACACTAATGTATCAGAAAGAAAGTTAGGCTAAATGCTGCCTTCCTGACATGCTAATTGCCCAAGTGTGGGGAGCTATTTAATAAAAAATGGGAGGGGGGCATACAATCCGTCCAGCCGTCTAATGTTAGATTAGCTTCAACCAGAGCCAGGGCCTTTTCAACTCTGGCTCCGGCCTGGTGGAATGCTCTGTCTCATGAGACCAGGGCCCTACGGGATCTGATTTCTTTCCGCCTGTAAGACAGAGTTGTTCCACCTAGCCTTTGGCTTAGAATCAGTTTGATTCCCTCCCTCTCTTTCTTTTTCCTTTCTCCTCCTGTGAAGAGGCTGCATCCTAATGTTTTAATGTTGTATTCTAATCTTTTTAAAATTGTATTTTAATCAACTTGTTTTTATTATTGGTTGTTAGCCACCCTGAGCCCGGTCTTGGCTGGGGAGGGCGGGGTATAAATAAATTATTATTATTATTATTATTATTATTATTATTGTTGTTGTGGTGGTGGTGGTGGTGGTGCAAGAGCCAGATTTACTACTCTGCCACTTGCAACCAACCCTAAGAAATATATTTCATTTGTTTGTTGTTAAATGTCTATACTGGATCAGAGGATCACAGGGCAGTTAATAATATAACAACACAGAAATCCATATCATAGCAACAAACAAGAACAATACTCCCTCACACACACACAGTTTAAAAGGCCATAGATATGAACTAACAGCTCACTGACTCGATAACAGTGAGTCCTTCATCATCCGACTGAGTCATCTCGTCCTCGGACTGGTCACTCAGCATGTCACATGGCAAGAGGGAGGAACTGTCGGCCACCTCTAGGACAGGGGCAATACTGGGCCTCCTTTTCCCAGAGCCATTTTCCGCTGGCAAGGTGAGCTTGCTGTTGTTGATGGGGCGGCACTCTGTGTTCTGCAGATCCATGGCCACCGTGCCTGTGGGGACAGAGGGAAGAGGCAGGATCAGGCACTAAAGGCAGCTACTACAGGGAAACCAATGCCCATATTACACTTAAAAAACACACACACACCTATTTTTTATTTTTGCTCTACACTGCAAGCTGCCTACAGCAAGGGTGAGAAACAGCAGGCCGGACTGTGGCCTGACTGTGGCCCTCCAGGTTGCTCAGGCCATTCTCCGCACTGGCCTCGCTTCATACCCAGAGCATTTCTGCCTGGCTGGAATATGCAATTGAACTCTGAACATGCCTCTTGCTTGTCTGGATGTGGGATAGTGTGGGTGTGGGTGTGTAGAGAAATGGGCCCTACTTTATGAAAGGTCAAAAGTGTGTTTGTTGCTCTGCTGACAGGAGCAAGCCAGCAGTAAATCACACTGTACACATTGGAGTTAACCCTTTATTAGCAAGAACAGGACTTGGTGGAGTGTCAGGCCTAATGAGCACAGGAACTAATCCCTGGTAGGTCTTGCCCCCATGGATCAGGTGCCAAGACTAAAGATCCCTGCCTCCTCACAGCTGTCTATGTATCCTCCTCTTCAGAGTCTATCTTTGCTCCTCTCACTACATGCCTCTTCTGGTTCTGGGAGGTTGGGGGGTGGGAGGAGCTTATCAGAGCAGGAGGGGGAGACACCCATGACTCTTCACCAGCCAAACTCATCTCTTCCTCTCCAGATTCCACCTCTGCTTCTGCTTCAGTACTGCTCTCTGCCACTGACTCTCCCAACTCACTAAGCCCTGTTACCCTTTAAGCTTGTGATGCCTCCTCTCCCCACTCTTCTCTTTCTTTCTTCTCATTGCTGTCCTACTACCTCTCCGTAGGCTCTGAGCCTTCTTCCCTTGGGGATTCCCTAGCTGGTGCCCCCCCAATCCAACCAGTCCATGAACATCTGCCCATTTTAGCCTCTAGCTCCACCCACCACTGGCATGTTGGAAGGTTCCCCTGAAGGGAATGAGGCCCTCAAACCAAAAACAGATTTCCCACCCCCAGCCTAGAGAGCCTTTACTATTAGGTGACCTAAAAACAACCCAGATAAAGAAATCCATATAAATAAATAAGACTCCCGCCGGAACAGATTAAAGGTTCACCTAGTCTAGCAACCTGTTTCCTACAGTGGGGTGCCCCTGAGGAATCCACAAGCAGAGCTAATAGTCTCCCCACTACCATTTTTGCTCCCCAGCAACTGGTATTCACAGGTATACTGCCTCTGAACATGGAGGTTTTCTTTAGCTGTCATGACTAGAAGCCATGGTCCTAGTCCCCATTGTTGTAGCTCAGTGGCAAAGCATCTGCTTTGGATACAGAAGGTCGCAGGGTTGATTCCAGGCTTCTCCAAGTCAGCCTGGAATGTCATCAGCCTGAAACTCTGGAGAGGCGCTGCTTGTCTGTATTGAGTTGCATAGACCAATGGTCTGATTCAATATAAGTCTGCTCCCTTCCCCCCAAAAAAATCCTTCCACCAGTGCTCCCCTCTCCCCAAAATAAGCTCCTGTGGTGTAAATTCTCCCCCAAATTTATGATAAGTTGTTTTGGAACATCTGAGGAATGTCTGTACAGTGGTACCTCAGGTTAAATACTTAATTTGTTCCAGAGGTCCATACCTAACCTGAAACTGTTCTTAACCTGAAGCACCACTTTAGCTAATGGGGCCTCCCGCTGCCGCTGTGCCGCCGGAGCACGATTTCTGTTCTCACCCTGAAGCAAAGTTCTTAACCTGAAGCACTATTTCTGGGTTAGTGGAGTCTGTAACCTGAAGCGTATGTAACCTGAAACGTATGTAGCCTGAGGTACCACTGTATATTTACTTATGCCTCACATTTTCTTCAAAGGTGGTGTAAATATTTTCTCCACTCCCTATTTTATCCTCGCTACAACCCTGTGAGGTAAGTTAGGCTGGCAGACTGCGATTATCTCAAGGTCACCCGGGAAGCTTCATCATGGCTGAGTGGAGATTTGAACCAAGGTCTTCCAGGTCCTACCCCGACATTCTTACCACTGTGACACCACATTGAGCAGGATGAGTCTAAGAAACTCATTCTTTACATATTTGGCAGCACTAACATCTCCAGCAGGTGTGTGCCTGTGTGCCATTTATGCAGATCTGTTTCAGGTAAAATGTAGACTGCTCTTTATTCTGCAAAGCGACGGTAGGTGGCCCTAATTATCTGGATTGCAGTTTGACAGAAAGCAGCATGAAAAGCCCCATCGCGCCTGGACTTCTGGGTAACATCTTTGCTGAGACGGGTGAATCAGGGCTCCATGAGAAGGCCAGCAACAGATTCTAATTGGTGAACCCGAGGAGAGAAAAGGCAGATGATGAGAAGAACGATCTTTGACTCTGTTTGGAGGAGGAGAGCAGGAAGAGAGGGAGGGAGAGCCTTATAATGAGCTAACAGAGTGGGCGGCAGAGAGGCAAGATTGTATAAGGGAGGAATGATTCAGGAAAGGCATAAATAGCACTCCTGTATTTCGCCTGTGGTGCTCTCTCTGCCTTGCGACAAGACAAAGATGCAGGGCGCATATTCAAAGGGCCCTTTCACCTGGAGGGGAAATGCATAGCCACTGAGGATGAGGCTGTGTATTAGGGGCTGCAGTGGTAGCTTGTAATCGTTGGGATCATTGGGATGCCATGCGGGGATGCTGAAGGTAGGGGGAGCCAGAGCCAGTATTGAGCAGTTTGGTTTCTTGAGTTGGCAGATGGGTCAGACTGAATGACACCTTTGAGGTCCCTTCCAGAGACTCCATCTCTTAACAGCAGCGCCATGGTATCTATGGTGCCTGGTGGAGCCCAGCAGGGACAGAACCAGAGCCAGGGGCAGGCTGAGCCAACTAATTCAAGCTTGCTCCCGTACTTCTTCCTGCTGAGTTCTACAATAGGGTTACCAGACGTCCCCGGCTCCCAGGGACAGTCCCTGGATTCACCAATCTGTCCCCAGACAAAATCTGCCCCCGGAATGTCCCCGGATTTTAATTAAGAAGAAGAAGAGTTTGGATTTGATATCCCGCTTTATCACTACCTGAAGGAGTCTCAAAGCAGCTAACATTCTCCTTTCCCTTCCTCCCCCACAACAAACACTCTGTGAGGTGAGTGGGGTTGAGAGATTTCAGAGAAGTGTGACTAGCCCAAGGTCACCCAGCAGCTGCATGTGGAGGAGTGGAGACGCGAACCCGATTCACCAGATTACAAGTCTACCACTCTTAACCACTACACCACACGGTGTCCCCAGATTTATGCCTGGGGACTTCCAGTGAGGCAACATGGCAGACGCCATGGCAGCAAGCAACACGGAGGTCCCGGCCACGTCAAAGTTCCAGCCAGCCATTCCTCTGGCTGGGCGGGGGGGGGGGATTTAAACCAAGGTGCGAGCCAGAGAGCTTCTTTCTGGCTTGCTTTCTCGATCAATGCTCGCCCCGAACTTGCGCACAGCTGCCCGCAGCAGAAGAGCCCACAGTGCTGAATTTAGGGGTGGGGGTGGTGAGCGAGGCGCTGAGGTGGTGAAAAAGAGGAGGAGGTTAGCATAGAAAAGAGCTGTGCCACGTTGCGAGACACACACACAGAGAGAGAGAGAGAGAGAGAGAGAGAGAGAGAGAGAGAGAGAGAGAGAGACGGGACTTCCGGGGTGGCGCCATCGGCAATGGCGGATTCCCTCTGAACTGGAGGGACCAGCTCCACGGGAATCGGGTCTTTTCTGCTACGGCGAAGCGGGGACCCATTCAAAAATCACAGGCGGATGAAGCCTGTGACCATGGGACTTGGCGGGCACCCTTAGCGCCCCCCCAACCCGCAAAAGAACCCATTAACGGGCTCCAGAGCGAAGGAGAAGTGGCGCGGTGCTGAGAGTCAACTGCTTCTTCCTTGGAGCGAAGCCGCACAGCCGTTGCCGGAGAGCGCTGCCTTTTTCCTGGGACAATCTGGCTTCTAAAATAATCACCCGTGAGTACCTAAACTCGGACAATTGGACTCTAAATAAGGACTTGTGAACAGAAAGGAAAATTGGACTTAAAAGTTTACCTTAATTTGGCGCTGAAACGGGAAGGTCTAAACAGGAAGTCAGCCTTCCGTTTCTTTGTAGATAGATTAAAGCAAAGACATGGCAAACTAGAGCTTAGAAAATCGCCTGTAAAAGATTAACTTTCATCATTTAAAATTGTTGAACCCCCTTCGGAAGCAGGAGAAGAGGGGGATTTTTCGGACTGTTTAAACCTGCAGAAGTGAGGGTAAAGTAAAGTAACTTTCCACCGTCCTGATCCTGGAGCGGGGTGTTAGGACTGACGTTTTTTTGAAGCTCATTGACCAGAGACAACGTTTTTGACAGATAGCTATAAGAAGAGAAACTTTGACTCCATTGTTCCCCTTCACTTCTTAAAGGAACAAATATTGACAAAATATTTGAAAAAGGAAACTTGGTTGCCAGACTTGTCCTTAAAAGAAAGAACAAATAGAAGTTTTCCCCCTAGAGGGAGACTGTGAAACTGTAACCAACTCCGGGGAGCTTGCAGCTGTTACAGATTACAATCGTGGGAATAGACATCTGACCTTGCAGGACAATGTATTCAGAAGCTCTGTTGTGTGCTTTCTATAAAACAAATGCCCTACTGGAACAGCTACATGAGAAGACGAATTTGATGGCTGATTCGATTAGAAATTTTGAACAGGCAGTGGGAAATTTTGAACAGGCAGTGGGAAAATATGTGGAGCCCACCCAGGAATTAAATCAGGAGTGTGCCCTGACAGAACAGGCCCAACAGGAACATGAGCTTTGGATTTGACAAATGAACTTGGAAAAAGCCAGATTTGGAAAGAAAAAGTTTGGTTTGGTTTGGAAATGGGGGGCTGGATAGACCCCCCTATGCAGGGATGTTTGGACTTTTCAAGTCTGGCAATGGGCTGTGAGATGTTTGGGATGGTGGGGGCTCCTAATTTTGGAGGGATTTTGAAACATGTTCTTAAATACCACATGGAATTTAGTGTGGATTATGGAAAAGGGGCTGATCTGTCGACAAGGGTCAAAAATATTGTTAAGCTGGAGTTCCCACGAGTGAAACGAGCAGGAGACAAGGGAAAATACAGTTACAAATATGAAGAAGAGCTGCGGAAGGAACATGCAAGAGACTTAAGGGCCTCGGATATAAGGTTACCAGGTTAATGCGCTAGATCGATGGGATAATAAGGACTGACAAAACCCGGGACCAGGAGGAAGGGACGCTGGATGAAGATTGGATTGTTTTTATTTCTTTTTCTACTACTAGGATTGTTTTATAAAATTGATGAATGTTAGAAAAATGTTGGAATGAAATTACTTGGCTTTAGTAAAAATGTTTAAAGAATTATGTAAGAATATTATGGTTATGAGAAGTTGGTAAAAATAAGATTTAAGTTTTAAGTTTCAAGGTTTTTATAGTAAGATAAGACTAAAATAGTTTAAGGTAATGTAATGACAGAATATTATGAAATATGGAAAGGATTTGCTGCGACAATTAACAACTAGGATACAAAAAAAGGGGAGGAGGAGGAGGTCAAAGAAAGAAGGTAATGACAGTTGAGGATTTGAGAATAATGGATTTGTTTTTAAATGTTTGTGGTGTATTTTTGTTTATTTTAAATTTGTATTGTTGGATGTGGTTTGTTTTTTTCTTTGTTCTTTCTTTGTTCTTTTTCTACTTTGTTTTCTTTTGTAACTCTAAAAAAAATAAAATCCAATAAATATCATTTAAAAAAAAAATAAGAGAGAGAGAGAGAGAGACGGAGTGTGGTGACAGCTTCTTACAGGAACAAAGAGGCGCAAAAGTGAAGGCTGAGGGGGAAATGGGGAGGGGAGGAAGGCAGGCAGGTGAACAGGCTCCTTTGCTTTCTCTTCCTCCTCTCCCTCCAATGGCCACTGAGGAGATGGTGAGTTTAATGGGGGGCGAGGAAGGCGCTGCGGTGCCCCTTGTCCCCGGTGGTGCCGCGCTGCCTTCCCACTGGGAGTGGGGCGCGGGGGTGGGGGATGGGGGTTGAAACGTTCTTGGGAGACGGGGCCTCCTTCACTCCCTCCGTGCCTCCTCTGGCACCAGCAGCTTCTCTTGTGAGGAGGGCTGTGTGCGAATCCGCTGTTTGTCCACCTCTGATAACGAGACACCACCACGCCAGTTAAATCGCCATAGAGACTGCACTTGCCCTCCCGTGGTCTCCCAGTTATGGGAAGCCGGTGCCTCCTCTGTGTGTTTTAATGCATGTTTTCCCAAGACCAGCGTGCACCTTTACTCGATCTCCCCCCCCCCACACACAACCAACATCTTTTTTTTGGCATTTGTGTGTTTGTAGATGGGCTTCTCCACCTGCCTTGTGTCAAGGT